ATGGCGGCGGCGAAGGAAGAAAGTCGGCGCAGCGAGTCCGTTGGTGGCGCCACCTGGGATTCGCGGCCGGAAGCAACCTTGGCTTCGGTGTTGTTTTCACGGTGAATGTGGTCTGGTCTCCTCGCGATCCGGAATTTCCACTTCGCGCCTAAGGATGTGAATGACTGAATTGTTTGGTCTCTTTTCCTCTTATATTTCAGTTTTAGTTTTCACTTTCATTAAGTGTAAGAATTTGTGTTGAGTATCAACCTTACAATAACGTGGTGCTGTCTGTTTCGGAAGATTAAAGAGATAAAGGACATTTTTAATATCATCATTAATTGAAAAAAGTCGAATCATTCCCCCGCTCGTTCCAGGCGAGCCTCCTGCTGGTGGTGTGTTTGGGCGTGGCGGCGCGGGCGGCGTCTCCGCCCGAGAGTCCTGCCCCGGCAGCTCTCCTGGACACGGCTCTCCAACAGGAAGAAACGCAGGTCTTCCCGCAACCTCCAGGCCACCTGTCTGACTCCCTCCAGCAGAGAGCCGCCCCCCAGATCCCTATCTATGGGGATTCAGAAGTCGACCTCGAGGGCGAAGGACCAGGCTTCGCCGCTCAAGGCGGTGTAGCCAGGCAGTACAGCAGCGCTGACGCGGCGGCGGAACAGAGTCGATTCCAGGAGCAGCCCTTCCGCCAGGGCTCCTTTTCCCAGGCGCGCAGGTATGGCCAGACCTCCGTCCGCCTGGAGGCCCTGCAGAGCCAGAGGGAGAGGCAGAACCAAGCGGCTGCGTCACTCCAGACCCAGAGGTCACAGAGCAGGTACTCGGGGTCCTTCCCCGCGAGCAGCTTCCAAGATGAAGATTCCAGGGACTCTGGCGAGGGAGTGAGGCCAAGCCCCCAGGGGTCGAGTGTGTCCAGGGGCAGCCAGAAGTACAAGGCAGCCGACGGAGACCTGGAATCAATGCGAATTGCGAAGGTAAAAGATGCTCACCACTAAAGCAAATCTATTAAGTTTTCGATGAAATCAACCACAAATGTCATTCCTATGTAGTTCTGCATATGTCCTCACTGCATATCACTCCAATAACATTCCTTCTCACCAAAATGCTTTATACTTTGACGGTAACTTTAAAAATAAATGTTTCATAGCCTACTTATAACCCCCAGCAGGAAATGGGCAGCTACCACTACTCTTACGACATCCACTCCGAGGACACTGGCGACATGAAATACCACAAAGAGAGCAGGGATGGCGACAGGGTAAGGATAAGGAGGCTTGAGAGTAAGCAGGGAAAATTAGCATTATCTTTTCTTATATGTATGCGTGTGTGAATAGATACATGGATAAGCATATATATATATATATATATATATATATATATATATATATATATATATTATATATATATATATTATATATATATATATATATATATTTATATTATTATATATATATATATATATATATATATATATAGATAGATAGATAGATAGATAGATACACACATACACATATATATGTGTGTGTGTGTGTGTTTATGTGTGTGTCTGTATGTTTGTATAAATGAATATCTGTGTATGTGTGTATATGTACGTATATGTATGTGTGTGTGTGTGTGTGTGTATGTATGTATATGTATGTGTGTGTATAAATATATGTATATATATACATATATATATAATATTATATATATATATATATATATATATATATATGTGTGTGTGTGTGTGTGTGTGTGTGTGTGTGTGTGTGTGTGTGTGTGTGTGTGTGTGTGTGTATTTATCTATCTATATATCTCTCTATATAAATATATATATTACATATATACATGTGTGTGTGTGTACATGCATACATATTATAAACACACACACACACACACACACACACGCGCGCGCGCGCGCGCGCGTAATATCGTTGCTCCTGCTGTGTTTGGTAAATTTTTGTGATCACTTATATGATAAACGTGAATGCAAGCGTGATATTTTTTATATATCATTGATTATACTGTAATCATCACTATAAGATCATAATAGAGACAGGTGCAGAGGTTTTGCGGAGAAGAAAATTAGAAATAGAACCATCAAGTTGATAAAAAAAGAAAAACATTTTTTCCCGCTCCTCTTAGGTGACAGGAGAATACCGGGTGAGGGAGCCGGATGGCTCAATGAGGATCGTCAGGTACACTGCTGACAAGGACAACGGTTTCCAAGCTACGGTAAGTGTTTAAAGAAAATGTTTAAGCCTTAAGGAAAATCCAAATAACTGTTAATATAATAGAAATTATAAAAGAGAAAGATTTCAAGAGCAACTGAGTAAAACGCTCTTCATGTTTCCATTGCCATAGGTGGAGTATATGCCAAACGAATCTAAAGAGGAACCAGAATTTGGCATGAAGATGTCCGCAAAGCATTCCAGAACTCAACAGCCTCGAGTAAGGATCCAGAACAGGAGGCCTCTGGTGGGCCCTCCAGATAGTCAACCAGATGGGTTCAATAGTAATTTCCGAGGGTCAGATAGTTCTCTAC